TATTTGTCTTATTTCTTTTTTTCTTTCTTTTTTTTTTTATTATTTATTTCGTCATTAAAAAAAAGAATCTTATATAAATAAAATCTACATGACCGGTGCCAAAATGAAGACAATATTTGCCTTATCACTTTTTGATTTTTTTGTTGTTTTTTTTTGGTGGATCCAGACCATTTAATAAAGTAGGGAGACAATTTTTAGGTTTAATGATTGGTGATCAGACTACCCCACAAATTACGAAACTACTTTAGTTAGTTTTTTTAGAATATTAGTATAATATTAGTCTTAAGCACAATAAAAGTAAAAAAAATGACTTAAATCTTATAAAAAAATGACAAGCCTTATCTTGAATTGTCTAGTAGTACTCATAAAATGTCGGACTTGTAATGTAGACTTGCCATTATTGATAAAAGATTATTACTTTTTATTACAATGTATATATCTTTTTGAAAAAATTAAGAAACTCATGTCACCTTTTAACTAACTCTGCGATACTATGAAAGGAATAATGAACAAATTATGGAGTAGTAAATAGTACCATTAACAAAAAAATTGTAAGCCACGTTGTTAGTGTCGTAGGAGCCACTAAAGACGATAAAGCTAATATGTAGAGAGATCACTTTCAAGCAATGTATAACTCAATACAACTACAAAGTCTACTTAGCTAAGAAAATGCAGCTACCTAAAGTAGTTTTGACAGCAAAAATCAGGAAAAGCAGGTCCTGGTTTTATGTATGGAATCTTTTATATATGGTGGAAATAGGCTAATTAGTATGTTTTTCAACCTTTGTTTAAAGCATTGGTATTTACCGTCTAAGTTCTTTGAATCATCTATTATTCCTTTGGTGAAGTGAAAATTAGCAAGAAATTTGTTTAAGCTGATACTCAAGAAATGTGTATCAGTTGACAGAAACCTAGTCCAATGCTTATAGTACAGAAAATGGTGTGCTACAAGGTGGTATTTTATCACCGTTACTGTTTAGCTTTTACATTAGTAATTTAGTATTTAAAAGCTCAAATAGGCGTGTTGGATGCAATATAGGAGAGAATTTTTCTAAATATTCTTACTTATGCTTATGACATAGTACTTATAGCGCCATCTTGGTTGTCTTTTTTAATTATTGAATTAAAATTATTGAATGCAATTAATGACATAATTAACTGTTATGTCTTTCAACACAAGGAAGACAGTTTGTATGGTTTTTAACCATACACAAAAATTAAAAAATTGTGTCGTTTTCATCTTCAAAATTGAGTGTAATATTTTGCAAACTGGAATTTGTTGACAGCTTTGAATAATTTGGTCATATTGTGAAAAATGATCTATCAAATGATATGGATAAAAAAAAAGAAGATGAAAATATATACTCGAACAAATGAGCTGTTTTACAGGTGTTCAAGCCTTGATAAAGTAAAATTATTCTAATCACATCACATGCGTTTAAATAATGCTTTTTAGTTTGAACAGTAGAACATCATCACACTTACAATATTGCTGTAATAAATGCGCAAAAATATTTTTCCTATTCAAGTTTTTTATTGTCAAACGAGTAAAATATATTTTTTAAAACCGATATCAAGCATAAACGTGATAAAATTATCAAATTCCTAGACATCAGTTTTTATAATATCATTTGGTTTGATGTTATATTAAATACCAAAAAATTGTAAAAAACAGTACTTCTTACGATTTTTTTGGTTGATATTTTCAAAGAAGTTAATTAACCAACATAATACAACAATAAGATTTGGACTAACATATTGCGTTGATTATCTCGAAGAAATAGGTAGTCTATTTTTTTTTTGTTTGTTTGTTCTTTTATCAAAATTTTACAAATACGTGTTCATAATATAAACTGATTCGTTTACAATGTATAAAATAAAATATCGTAGATATAATAGGATCTTTTTTCAGTACAAATATTAAATTTAGCACAAATAATAAATATAAAAAAAGAACGCGGAAAACTTGCCGCAGACCATGTGGTCTTGTCATCTAGAAACCGCTTTTAGTTGCGATATTTTGTGTACTTAATTTGTTAAAAAAATTTTCAGTTTAGCAAATTCTCTTAATGGCATTAGAGTCACATATAAAAAGCTATTAAATAATCAAAAATAGAAAAGAGCTGTATTTGATGCACATAAATATATAATTACACGGCTTGTTATACTTAATATATTGACAGACATGTACGAAATGTAAATTAAATCTAATATACACTTTGCTTTGAAGTTAATTCTTAGATTTTTTTGTTTTTTTATTTTAGTTATTAGTCTTAATACACGTTCGTATAATTGTTTAAGTCGAGAACTAGTATTTTTAATAATATTTTCAGAGAATTTGGGTAATGTAATTTAGTAATTGTAATATTTTTAAAAATTAATTTGTTGTAGAGGTAAGGGCCGCGATTCAAAATAGAGAAACGTGGTAGTTTTGTTTTTTTATTTGGTACATTAAAATTTCCTGTTCCTCGAGTATCATATCTATTTCTATTGCATTAAAAAAATTCTTCTAAAAAATGTGATGGGAGAATTCCAAGTTTATATTTAAGCATGAACAACAAATTTTGATAGATGTTAATTTTATAGATGTTTAGTGCATTAAGACGCTTTAGCAAAGGTTCAGCATGAGTACACTTATCTTTATTAAATATTATTCTTGCAGCATGTTTTTGATGTCGGTAGAGTGCCACTAGGTTGGATCTATGGGTACTTGCCCATGCTATATTACCATACGTATAGTAGATTTGAATAAAAGAAAAATAAAGTTGCTTTAAATTTTTTTGGGGTAATATCGGTCTAGCTTTGTAAAGCATTCAAATGTTGTTTCTTATTTTAGTATTTAAAAAGTTTATGTGGGATTTTCATAAAATATTCTCAACGATAAATATTTTTTTCTTTGATTGGAATGGAATAGAATTGGTAATATATTTGGTAAAGATTTTTTCCTTTGATTGGAATGGAATAGAATGTAGTTGGTTTTTTCTGTATTCAATGATAATTTGTTAGACTTAAACCAAGTATTAAGATTTTCAAGTTCAATACCTGCAGTTTCAAAGAGTTTTGTGATAGAAGTAGATGAATAAAATAAATTTTTTGTTTATGCGACACAAAGATCGCAAAAAGTGACCAACGGAGCCGTTACGTAGACCTGGGAGATATGAAAATAAAAACAGAGTGTAGATGATGTCATTTAGGTAAAAAAAACACAAGTTTATGTAAAGACTATTTAATAGGAGGAGTAAAAGTTAGCGACTCGAGAAGAGGGAAAACATAACTCACACTCTAGTCATCTTTAGCAAATAATAAAGCAATGATGTATGAGTAACAAGTCAATACAAATCCGCTGGTTTATTAATGGTATCTATTACTAAAATAATTGCACCATATAAAACAATAAAATAAGTAGATAACAAAAAAGTAAAATGATACTAAATAACAGGTGGATCAATATTTCAAAAAAAAAAAGTGTCTAATAAATGTGACACTATATATGTTCTAAACTCTAGATAATAAATAGAGAACTGATAATCACCTGTGTAACATAAAAATACATAAATGTCATTAATGTAACTAATTCATAATAAAAAGCTCACAAAGCGCAAAACTTCTTGGGTGTAGTGGTAAAAAAATGTTGGTGCCATAATAACCAATTAGAATTAAGTAGTGGATAAATGGTGATCCCCTCCTAAAGAATGAACTGCGATCACCAATGACGTTTCGGAGGGTCTGGGACCTGCACTAACGCCACTCGTCAGGGGCGTGTCCTTGCAACAGATCTCACCGCCTGCACTCTACGTCATGCTAGTTAATATTGCAATATAATAGGATTACACTACAGAAGCCAAAAAACCCAATCAGTATCCCAGTTTTTAATACAGCTCCAACATTGTTAGAGATCTTGTGAGGGTGGTGAGGGATGGGTGTGGTGTGACCATAAACAAATATGTAAACACATATAAATGTAATGTAAACTTATTATAGGAGAAACAAACTTGTTAGATTTAAACCAAGTATTAAGTTTTTCAAGTTCAATACTTGCAGTTTCAAAGAGTTCTGTGATAGAAGTAGATTAGTAAAATAAATTAGTATCATCTGCAAACATTATGGCATTGAGGTTGTTTGAGACCATTGTAAGATCATTGATGTATAGCAAGAAAAGTAAGGGAGCTAGAATGGAACTTTAGGGAACTCCGCATTTAATTTTAAGTAATATTGAATGGATACTTTTATCTGTAATAACAGATTGCTGTCTGTTTATAAAAAAGCTCTCAAACCATTGTAAAACAACATTTTTAATGCCATATTTTTCCATTTTTTTAAGTAATATAGCATGATCAACAGTATCAAATGCTTTTGATAGATCAATAAAGATTCCTAGAACAAATTTGTTATTATCAAAAGAATCATTTATTTTATTTAAAAGATCTAATATAGCATGTTCGGTTAAATTTTGTTAATAGTTAGGTATTTATATAGTTTATTGTAAACTATTTGTTCTAGAAGTTTAGAAAAGATTGGAAGGATTGAGATGGATCTGTAGTTGTTAAGTGAAAATGGCTCTTCGGTTTTAAATATTGTTACGACTTTTGCAATTTTTAATTTGTCTGTAACAGTTCCTGTTGTAATTAAAGATTTAAAAATTTCGAATTTGGATTTACGTTTTACCGGGAAGACAATTATTACTATGTTACTACAAATCTCATCGATCCCATGGTGCTTTGTTAATTTTCAAGTTTTTTGTTTTTGAGTTTTTTGCATCATTGAGTTCATCATAACTTGGACCATTAAATTTTAGTTCGCTATATAGATCTGTAAGATAGGTTTCAAAATAGGTATTTGGGCATTAAATTTCGGACGCTATGTTAGGGCCAATGTTTGAAAAGAAATTGTTGAAATGTTCGGCAATCGATCTTTAATCGTTGTATTCTGTTTCATCCACAACAATTCTATCAGGTAAGGTATTTGCTTTGATATTTTCCTTCCCGATAATTTCTTTCATG